TGAGCCAGACCACACTTTCTCAGCAGCACCTTCTAGGTTTGCGGACTATTTTGCTGCACAGGGATAAAAGAAACTATTGCTCCATCTCTGGAGAGAAACCAGCTCAGTTTATCAGGGCATCTTGTTTACTGAGATTCCTCCTGAGCAGATACATTAATAGGCCCAATTTCAATCTTCAGAAATAGTTTACAGATGAGTTTTGAGTCCTGGAAGAAAATATTTTTAAATGAAAAATTTTCGAGATTAACTTTTCTATATATCCATTAGCCTTTTTAGATTAAGCTTAGGAGTACTAAGCAACATCCATCCCTCAAGCATGTTGTATTACAATTATAGGTCTCATTTCTTCTCAGTTTCATTACATTCAAAAGAGCCAGCTGCCTAGGAGGGGCTAATTCCTACTCTTGTGGCTCCTTCTATGTGTGTATCTCTCTACACTCCTCATGCCATGCAGAGTAAGTAGGCAGCTGGCATTTACAGGGAGCTTGTCACATGCTTAGCATCTCTGTGTCCACCCTATCCAAGTGATCGAGGAGCGGTGGAGTGGTGTGGTTTACACCCCAGCTGCCTGGTATGACTTGGGTTACAGCCCAGTTCAAATTCAGCAGGTCAAGAGACTGGGGTCTGGAAAAGAGAAGGAAGACCAGAGATCATCAGAACTCAAGACTTACCTTTAGCTTTTCTCCAGGTAGTTTTGTGAACTTCCAAGGACAGTAAAATGCTGACCAACAGCACAGGCTGCTCCTGTATGTTAGCAGAGTGTCCCATCTACCTTTAAGCCACATCAGAGAGGCTGGCAGAGATAAGTTAGAGCACTGGTTCAGACACATGCGAAAGGATGTCTCTATCTAACCCAGTTCTAAATGAGCTTTCTTGCCAGAAATGGTTAAAAATGGCCAAAGACAGATGGACACAGGGTAGCATTACATCTGCTTTAGCCATACCAGTTTCATGGGCCACCAAAGCTCTGGGGGGTTCTTGCATTGACAGCTATGGCAGCTCTGCTCTGCTGGAGGAGAGCAGTAGGGTTGTGTTACCAGTGAGAGTACAATGTGTGCTGCAGGAAAGGATGAAAAAGGATACAGTGCTTGAACTTTTCAGGGGGATAAATAATGGGACAGAACTGTCTTGAGATAGGGTTTGCAGAAATAAATACTTCCCAGAGCATGACATAAAGGTAAAATAATTGCAGAAGCTTTCAGAGAGCTTGAATCCAATTAATGTGTCATAAGAAATTATTTCCAGCCTTGTCAGCCATTTTAAATGTATCTGCCATCTGTTAGAGAAACCTAAAATCTTTGGGTAAACTGCTAATCAGGAAAGCAGCACTTCATACCTATTCCCTCATTCTGCAATTTGCTTGTCCCAGCAGGCTAGCACAGATTTTTCCTTTATGAGGACTTCAGATGGGTGAGGGAAAGGAGGGAGAGTAAGAAATCGTAACAATCCCTCTAAAGCAATGAACCCAGCATAAATATGAGGAAAGAAAGAAAAGTAAGAGCCATCTTATGTCATCTGTGAGCTATACACAGAGTAGGTAGCGTAGCATCCTTGGAAAATGACTGACACTTGGTCAACCAGAATCTTACTGTTGTACTGAGAGAAAATGAACTTACAACATTTAGGGACAAATCCGCACCTCGCTGAGATGCCCCAAAAGGTTACAGAGGCAGAGGATTTGTGCATGAGCACCGCACCTAACATCCCCAGCTGAAAGCAGTGGTCATTGGCTTTGCCACAAGCCTCTCTCCAACACCCAGAGGTGGTCCCTTGCCCTGGCTGTCCTTTTAGTAGCATCAGCCATGGGAAGCAGAATTGCAGCACTCGGGTGGTGGGACTTGCTCAGAGAGACACGACTGCTTAGCAGCAGAGCCCAGAGCAGAACATGGGTCCTCTGGCCCATGCCCTGTTCAGTGACACATACTGTTATACCAGTCTTCACTGGAGTTCTGCATCTGTATTTTTTCTATTATTTCCATTTACCTACAGTAACTGACTTTGGGTAAATTCTAAGTAGGCTGAAATGCATCACCTTATTTTTTTGCTGATGGTAAAGGCATAGCTTTTTGCTATTTTAGTGTCGGGTAGGAGGGCAGCTTTAACACTGTGTGGAAGTCCTCTTGTGTTTCCAGATTCTTCATGAGAGCGTATTACGAGACGGCTGAGTGCCTGAAGCGCTTTGATTTCTGTTTTTATCCCACAGATTGTCGATGGCAAACTCTGGTTCCAGCTGGACTGCGGAAGTGGCCCGGGAATCCTGGGAATTTCTGGCAGGACCGTCAATGATGGAAGCTGGCATTCGGTCTTCCTGGAGCTGAATCGCAATTTCACGAGCCTGTCCCTGGACGACAGCTATGTAGAGCGCCGCAAAGCCCCCCTCTACTTCCAGACCCTCAGCACGGATAGCTCCGTCTACTTCGGCGCCCAGGTCCAAGTGGACAATGTCCGCAGCCTGACCGACAAAAGGACAACGCAGGTCTTGAGTGGCTTTCAGGGCTGCCTGGATTCAGTTGTCCTAAATAACAACGAGCTGCCGCTCCAAAACAAGCGCAGCAGCTTTGCAGAAGTGGTTGGCCTGACTGAATTAAAGCTTGGCTGCGTGCTCTACCCGGATGCCTGCGAGAGGCAGCCCTGCCAGAACGGCGGCACCTGTACCAGCGTGCCATCTGGTGGTAAATATTTTGCATTACTTTATGGGTTCTCCCCTCCCTATTTTCCTTTACAATTTATTGCCAAAGATGGTTTTGTGCAGCAACATGCTTGAAGAAGCTCATGAACTCTATAAAACTCTGATAGGTATTGCAAATTGTGTAAAAGCTGTTTGGTCTATAAATAACGGTGAAATTGTTCCCCTTCTCGTTGCATTAGTGTTCCAGGAGGAAATTGATTTATTGGCTGTTAGGATAAACGTATTTCTATAGAAACCAATAGAATTAAAATTACTGTAATGCTCAGCTGGATTTTTTCAGGATCCATTTACAGCATCGATGGCTGTACACAGAGATGGTGATTTCAGACGTCCATCACAGATGCAACGGCACTGTTGCCTTTCTCTGTTTCTGAAGCTGTCACAAATAATTACTGAGCTGTCCACAAACACCTTGGTCTTTTTGTGAATGAGTAATTTGATTACATGTCTGCATGGAAAATAGTGAGCCTGCCCCATTATAAACTCCCCAGAAGTGCATTTTCCTTAGAAGCCTGAGTGCTTCAAGGTCTAAGTAATATTATCCAAAGTTTATAGGGCATTGATTTAAACTGTGCTCGTGTTAGAGTTTCCTATCCAGTGGTTATATGGTGGTTTGTGTGATTTGGTGCCAGCGACTTACTACCCAGTAATGTAGCACACAAGTTACCAGACCATAAGAACAGTCAGCATCTTAGCAGGAAAAAAGCAAATGGCATAAACAAAAGAGCCTTTTCTCTAGGGCTGTTCTCCTTGTGCAGTGTATGGTTTTTTCCTTCCAGTTCCCCATACTGTATTATCAGGCAGCATTTCTCACCTTTTCTGGCAGACTAAAACTTCCTCTGAACAGGAGGATGCTCAACAAAGAGGTATTTTGCAAGTTCAGGGCTTTCCATCCACTTATTGTCAGTGGTTTTGGTCATGGTTCCCTAAGGAAGTTCCCACTAAACTCTTTTTTTATGGAGCATTTAACCACTGTCCCAGGGCTCTCTACTTCAATGTGTCTATGAAGTTCCCTTGAATTCATAATTGTTATTTCTGTTTTTCTTTGTTTTAAGCCTTGTTCTCATATTTCCTTGCTGATCACTCTCTCCTAAGTAGATTTTTCTAAACTTTAGGAACTTCCTAAACTTTAGAACAGTTTAGTTTTCAAGGCTGAAATCTAATGAGATCTGATCAAAACTGACTTGTCAGACAGAAATTTCTCATTTGGATAACCCTGCTCTTGTAGAGTAAGCCCTGGCAATGTGAATTTTCTGGTGCTGGGATATCTCAGCTGGCATCTCCTCTGGATGCTTGGCTTTGATTCAGCCACCTCTACTCCCATGCTAGGGCAAAGGGTGTGTCATGGATGCTCTCGGCTTTGCTGTTGGTGAAAGAGGATGGGAGGACAGTTGGGAGGGATGGAGTGCAGCATTGGTACGCCAGGACGTGATATGTGGCAGGAGGACAGATTTTGCTGTTTGTGTGTGTTGTTAAGGGTCTTCACTTACTAAGGGAAGGAAGGAAAAGGAGAGCTACACAACAAGGGCAAAAGAAAATCATTCTGAGGCAGATGGATGCTGCAGCCACTGAAAGAGTTGCTAAGCAAGATTATTTAATACCCTAGGAAATACGACTGTAATATGTACATGGACATAACATGGCTCTAATTTAGACTCCATACTTAATAAATGAGATTAACCATTCACCAAGCTAGCATCCTTGGAAGCATGAGAACAGCTCCTTCTATTGATTTTGAGTCTATTTACAGTATTGCTCAGCAATCTTGTGATGAGTAAATTGAAACCTTTCTAACAAAACGCTTTACAGTAATTCTTTTTTTCCCAGCACCATGTGCATGCCAATTCAAACTGAGGGGAGATGCGGGGTGCGGAAAAAACAGGCGGTGCTGAAGACTGGACCCATTTTATTACTGGAATGGCATGCACCATTTTCATGTCAACGTAATTTGCTGCTGGAAGGCAGTCACAGAACTGATTTAACTTGCCTGCGTTCCTGCCTCGGCAAGGGGCACGTGCCCTGCGGGGATGTTTCGGCTGCCTGCCGTTAAAAATCTGTTTGCTGTTTTTACTGCCTCAGCAGTGTATGTAAATAAAGGATTGTTATAAAGCCATAATTCCAGCGCAATGGGCCCTGACTGCACGTCAGTGGTTCTGCAGCCCAGCCCACAAGGAGAAGGCATGGGATTTTTGTTTCCAGCAAGCCAAGCAATTCTGTTGTTAGTGTCCTCCATATGCATAAAGGCCACATAATTAAATTCCATAGAGCAGAGAGCCCAACAGCATTGCAAATGCTAGTTGTGGAGCCACAAATTACAATGGGCATTTAAGAATCACGAGACGTTGTATTCACTGACATAGATGTTAGCAGCTGACTTTCATTTAAAATAGAAAAAATATGTAATAACTCTTCATTTTTTATCTTAGGAAAGAAAACGGCAGCTTTTTTCTTTTTTAGTGGCAGGGAGGCATTCAAAAATATACCGTGCAAAGGTCCTTTTGCCCATCCCAAGGCATTCAGTAGCATGAGGATCTCTTGACTAATGTTTTCTATGATGTTATCCTCCTGTTAAAGTTTCTGGCGAATAACGTTCCGTTTCCTAAACAGAGAGTATTTTACATAATGATAGGATTTGTTTTAATAAATAAATTCTCTGATTTTAATTTTACAGAGCAGATTTCATATACTGTTAACATCCTTTTTCTTACAAAAAACCCTGCTGTGCTTTACAAGGAAATTAAGAGAGAGGGGAAAAAAGCTCAGATTTATAGCTAAATTTAAAAGGAAACAGTCAAGCGAAGGTTACCCAACATTATAACATGAAAGGGTTGCTGGCTACATGCCAGGAATCAGAGAGGCCATGTCTAATTTACATGTAATTTGCATAAATTGATCATCTGAAACACAAACCTCCATAGTAGTATTCATGTTGTGAGATCTTCTTTTCAATAGAAATGCCTGCTGCCCTGTTCACCATTAATAACAAGCTGCCTCTTATTACCTTCCACTTCAGCCTGCGGTTATGGGAATCGAGTAATATCATGGCCCCGGCTTGGGAATTGCTGAAGCAATGCTTTGTGTGCACTGGGAGTGTGTCCACACTGCTTCACTTAGGGTTCCTATGGGTGAATTCACAGTAACTTCAAAGTGCGTGGCTCGAGGGCAGTGCCGTGCGTGGGCTACACAGAGCTCGGGACTGATGGGAGGGTCGGCACAGGGCTAGCTGGCCCACGCTGGCTCTTTCTATCTGACCTCTCTGCATATTGAACAGGTGGACAAAATGGGAATCTTAGCCTGCAGCAGAAATCATAGAATCATTAATCATAAGATCATCAAGTCCAACCGTGAACCCACCACCACCATGCCCACTGAACTGGGTCCTGAAGTGCCACATCTGCACGTTTTTTTGAACACCTCCAGGGATGGTGACATAGATAGCCCAGGTGCTTCATGACATCTCTGAAAGTACAGAGAAACCTCTCTGCTTTCAAACTCTGGTATGTAGGGCAGCAGAGAGCAGCCAGTACATGAATCTCTGCTTGCAATTGTGTGTTCCCACAGATCCCGTGGCCACAGTGTTTGCCCAGCGTTGTCAGCAGTTAAAAAGAGGGAACTGCAATGTTCAGGGATCCCTTAAAAAGGGCTGCAAAAGGGGAAAGAGCATTCACCAGGTCTGACAGCTCAGGAGATGCCTAGCAGAAAGAGACTTCTGCTTTATATGGCTTTAGGACAATTTTCTTGGAGACATTGGAAACCACAGCCCTGAAATACAGGCCACACTCCTCCAGACTTTTCAGTCCCTACCCATAAGTACGGGTCAGTAAGGCTATTTTTAAAGAAAGTTGTTAGCGTTTTGAAACCTGACAAACAACATGACTTTGAGAAACAGCTTGGCTCTTTCGACTGAAATTTCCCAAGAAACTTCAACCAAGTGTTTAAAGTGTGGTTAAGCTATAAGCTGGTGAATATGAGGTCTTAAAATGGGAAATGTCACACAACCTTAATAATAGAGTGGCTTTACTAGGTCTGCCAATAGTAAGTGTATGTTTATCTGCATGAATAACATGAGCAATCACAGCAATAGAAAGCTTTACTGTAATCAAATCTGAACACGGCGCCAAGCTTTTCAACCACAGAGAGAAACCTCGTGCTTGTAAAGCCTGCAATTATAAGTATAGTTACTTCCTTTTAATTTGATCAGTCCTATATACATCTGGCTTTGATTGAAATAAATGTCTTATATGAGTAGGCAATTTTATTTGAACATGAAGCATTTGAGCAGAAATATCTTCTGAGTCAAGGACTGTGGGCAGAGTGTGAGGACAGAAAGTCATTGCTTTCCCCTTTCCTCATTTTTTCTTTTTTTTTTTCCTTTTTTTTAAGAACAAAGTTAAAATCCAATGGGAGGGAAAAATGTAATCTGGTACCTAGGTGATGGTTTTAATACATGTTTTAGAGCATGTTGGCAACATTAACGCACAGGTGTTTTGGGGGATTAAGTAGCTCATGAGACTGACATCAGGGAAAAGTGGGTATATTAATACCATAGTCATGAACTGACCTGGTCTTACTTATGTTCTTGATCTTGCTTTTTCTCACACACAGACAAACTAGTATGCTGTAATGTGAGCATACCAAATGCATATCAGTTAATTTTTTAAAAGCTTTTTAGAAATTTTGCGGGTTTTACTCTTTTTTATAGTTATGCCTGTAGGCATCTGGATTTAAATTCCCATTTTCAAAGCACATACACACCAATCCTTTCATAGAAAGCACCAGTTTAACAAAGACTGAGGTTCATTTTCATACCTACTAGTAACAAGAGGCAATCATCTGTCTGAGGACAAATAGGTTAAACCAAAAGTGGCAGGAATATGTATGGTCGAAGAACACAGAATTCTTGAAGGTGGCCTGGTATGTCTATAAACATACCAAAATATAAATGCTGGGAGAGGTCCTCTTCACCTTCAGATCTTCTCATCAGTTAACTTGCCATGAAACACCATGTGAGCAGGGCCAAGGGCAGGCCTGTTTCTGGACATGGAGTTTGTCAGGTCCAGCTCTACAGCAGGGAAAGAAACTACATGGGGGGATCAAATGCAAAAGCCAAACAACATAACAGATAAAAACCAGATCCTCTTGCACGTGATAGATAGAAACAGGAGAATACACATGTTCAAAAAAAGAATTGGCAGTTGGAGCATCCTCTTTTATAAAGCCAAGTAAACCTGAGGATAGACAGACATTCAGATGCTGAGGCTGGCAATGCTACCAATGGAGACTTTCGCTGCATAATGGCATCCCATCTGCTGATGGCACCATGCCTGCCTTTTGCCACTGTCTCTGTTTATTTAAAGTGCCAAGCAAACATAGGTATAGGCAGGAAGCCTGTGTAGTGTCCTTGCTTACAGCATGTTGCTCTTTGGTAAGGTCGGGGCTGAAAAATCCCTTTTCCTTTGGTCAGGGATGTGTCAACAAGGCAGGAAGAGAAGCTGTTGGATTCAAAGTGAGAGGGGGAGACTCAGCTACATAGGGAGGACTCAGATTAGTGAAGGAGCATGAGAAGCCTTATAAGACAACCAGAAAGCTCAAAACTATGTGTAATCAGGAGTAGGCTATGTCTACATAGTGGTTTAGATCACGAATGAGCTTTGACTTGAATCTTCTGATCATCCCCTCTCACTGTGCTTCAATTCCCGCTGTGGGGAGGTGAGGTCTCTCAGAGGGCAGGACCAGGCTTCCCTCTGGGCAGTGCTGAGCTGAAAAATGTGCCTCAGGAGTGCAGCTAATGTGGTCCTAAAGCCCTGAAATGTGTGCACTGAGGGTGCTGGGTCCTCAGCACCAACTGTTTTGCCCCACAGGCCCACTGTTGGTGCTCTGCAGGGCTTGCTAATGCAGAGAGAGCCTAAAAGGGTGAGATTGTTGCTCACAGCTTGTTGCTGCTCTTACATCAGTTGTTGGTACCGGCTGCTGTGGCACATCCTGAGGGTGTTGTGGTCCCACCCCAGCAGCATTGCAGATGTGTTTACTAGAACTTTCTGTCTTTTTCCACTGGTTCCCTCTGAAGAAATACAGTGGTGATATCACAGAATTTGCTGCCTTGGAGAATGCAGATCAACATTTTCCAGCATCACTGTGCAAAATGAAATATTCATATCTCTTGGAGAGAACCCAGATGAACTGTATGGTCTTAAATGCTGATGAATTTCCAAGACTTCCAGTACCTTCATTGTGAACAGGAGCAAGCCCTACATTGCTTGAAAGGGTTTTTTCATCCCGTGCTTAAAGGACAGGGCACTTAGCCTTTTCTTCAGCTCTGTTGTCCTCAGACATGGGAAGTCTGCTTATTAATCTTGTGCTAAATTGTTGGGCAGAAATGCATGATACATTACCTGGATATTAAATTCAAAGTGTGATAAAAACTCTTCATTAGACCTAGGATGCAGTCCTAACCAAAATGACTTTCTTTATGATTGCACTTTGTCCAAGGCCATGTGGCTACAATGTGCAGTAGCAGGCAAAATTACAGCCTCTGCAGAGAGGTTTGGAGAAGCATAAAAGGTCTGGCAAGTTCACTGGCCAAGTTGATATACACTGTGTACTGAGCCATCCCATCAGCTCTTCACTTCCTTACTCCATGAATTTCAACATATGCTTTGCTGTGTTGGAGGCCTCCCAGGTGAATGCTTTGCAGCTCTGAGCATGTGTGTCACGGGAAAGTCCGGTGTCTTTTGCCAGTGGCTCAGAGTTGGCAGGTGTATGGCAGTGCTTCCAATAGGAGGAAAAGTCAGTGAGAAATATTGTAATTTAATACTGTCTTGGTTTATTGCCCTTTTTTATTTTGAACTTTGATCCCTAGGCTTAGAATCTATGCTGAATACTTTAGTCTTCTAATATTTGACTGTGTTCCACCATCATTAAGTCAAATTCAGTCAAAAATGTAGACTTTTGGAAGCAGACTTTTCATTCTGGTCTTGGTCATGCATTGCCCAACAGAGCTCTGAGCCATCTGGAGCATTCAGTTTAATCTCCTCTTAGTATAAAATGTTAATTGAAGTTAGTGCATCTTTACGATAAACAATAGGCAACAATAATAATTAATAAATACATGTTCCTTTTATTCTTGGTGGTAAAAGGATATTTTTTTTTACCAAATCAATATTTCTCAAGTTTTCTGTAGTGAGTAAATGCAACAGAATATGTTACAGAGTGAGAACCCAGAACTTAATCAGCTGAAACAAACACAAGATGTGAAAAGAAATTGATTCAAAGGCTTTGTCTTACAAATGATTGGCAACTAGTAACTTAGGTACAGAAAGTTAGTTTTTAAAGTCACTTTAAAGTTATATAGGTTTACAATATTGGATATCAAATATAAGAACGTATCTATTCTGCCGTTATGTAAGGCAAGAGATTTGTTTATGAATAAAATGTTTTATATTTGAACATTTTCATTTCACTTAAACTCATTGAGACCATAAAAATATATGAAACATTGCTGTAAATTTTTGAACTATAGATGTCACTGTTCAGTCATAAAATGAAGAACTGAAACAGCCTTATTTATTCATGCTGAGATTTCTACCTACAGTGTTTCTAGATCAGCTACTTTACCAACTAACAATAAATCTTTCATAGGGATAGCATCAAAATGCAATGCCTGCTGCGGTCACAGATTTGTAGTTCTTCAGACCCAGATCCAGATCTCTACAGGTCCAGAAAGTTGTTTGCATTTTCTGAGTGAAATATGTATAAAACACCAAATAATAATTCCGTCTTGCTGATGCTGACCAAAGACACTTTCCAGGAATCCCCAGAGTCGAGTCATTTCTCTTCTTAACTCTGCAGTCTTGAACACAGCAGTGCTTCTATCTCCTTTCTTGTAGCAGGACAACGAAACAGCATGATATCTGAGTATCTCTTTCATTTATCTTCATTTAAATAGGATTGGACTCTTGAATGAATACGTCAGCAAGTCTTCTTCCAAGTTTGTTCTCAAAAGCCTGTCTTCATGAAAGAATTCAATCAGAGTAACTGAACAAGGCGAATTGAACCAGATAGCACATAAAAGATGTGAGAATCTTAATGCCGAATTGCTTTTGCCTCATGCCTCCACTGAGCTTTCCCATATTCTTTCCATGAAATTCTTTTCCTCATAACTGTGCTGGAAATTCCCACCTTGTTTCCTAGTAGAGTGGCTTTTAAAATACAGGGGGTTTTTTTCATATGTATAGATATAGAAAGTTTTTTTAAATATGTTTAAAAAGCTCACCACTGAGGGATGCTCTTTCAGATACATCAGCTTGATCGCCAATAATTTTGACACTGAACTGAGTTGCATTCAGACATTTCTGCTCTAACTCTAGCACTATTAATGTCAGGAAGTTTCCTTGTTCTGGTTGCTTAATATGCTATATTCAGTAAGTGTGTGAACCCCGTAACTGGAGCTTGAACCTTGCCTATACATCTGCTTGGGGCATTTAGACTGTGTAAGTTGTTTTTTAAAAAATCAGCTAAAGTGCTTTACAGATGTCCAGGAAATGTTTGCTAATTCAACATCTCTAATCTAGGAGTCTTTCCATCCCAGGGACTGCTTTAGCCATCTCATGGCTTTCACAACCTACATGTTCCTAGCTCTTTTCAAGTGAAAAAACACTCAGATTTCAATATCTAGTTCACAACATAAAGAAATGCGCTTCCTCACTGGATTTCTTTGTGACCTTAAATAAAGTTTTTGTTAACAGCATTGTGCTATATGAAATCACAAGGAGAGGACAAAAAAGAGATTTGTCATTTGATGCTTGGCAGAGTGAACTGATGAGTTTAAGAACTGTTTTTCACTCTGATGTTGCTCCTCTGTTGGCAAGAAACGTAGAAGTAGGACTTTGATCCCCTACAGGGTCCCCTTCCACTTGAGCAGAGTTATGACTGATGTATTACAGACAGTGATTGATCAGTCTTTTAATAGCATACACTGCACATAATCAGCTCTGATTAGGGCTGGCATTGGCCAGTTCAGCTAGTATTATGAAGTTTACATTTCATGCCTGGATGATGCGCTTTATGAAGGTGGAAAGTATCACTATCAAGTGTTTTACTGCTGTCACATCCATACTGTGTTGTCCTTGTATTTGTTCTTCAGTGAAGCCCCTAAAGGAGTGTGGGCTGCCACTATCAGCAAACATGGTCTGTAATTTCAAAAATAATGAGAGATCCATCCTTGATCTAGAATATTGATGCCAGAAAAAAAAAACTCTCAACTGGCATCAGTATGGACCACACAGACATACCAGAATGAGTATAAACATCCCCTTTTCCCCCACAGGACAGTATATTTTTTGGAGAAAAGTAGCCAAATGGATCTCCTTGCTTCTAGACTGGTAGAGTGGTAAGCTTCTGATTTATTTCTCTATGTCCTTCACCTCCCAGGATACCAGTGCAGTTGCCTCTCCCAGTTTACAGGAAGGAATTGTGAGTCAGAGATCACAGCCTGCTTCCCAAATCCCTGCCGGAACGGAGGCTCTTGCGATCCCATTGGCAATGCTTTCATCTGCAACTGTAAAAATGGCCTGACGGGAGTAACGTAAGTGACCCTCTCCAGGTGGGCAGCCGGGACTTTTCAATTCAGTGATGGTAGGGTTTTTGATCAGGCATTTTGTACTCAAAAGCTATGATTCACCTAGCAAAAAATAACCCAAAACTTAGCTCTTATTTCAAGTCTAAGGTAATGACAGCTGAAAAATCCACAAGGCGTTCAGAAATGCTTGTGACAACTTGGCCTTCTAAGTTGTTGTTTCAGGATGTTATCTCCACAGTTTTCACTGAGATATGCACACGTAAGTGTTTTATGATTTTTCTCTTTTTAGTACTTTTTGAGCAATCTCATAAAGCATGTGAAAGCTGCTATGTAATAGTTTTTTTGAAGATGGATCAATTATTTAGTCACCTTAGCTCTGATATAAAAGCCTAATTTATTGCATTCATTTTTAAAAATCCCAGCCTTGATTATATACTTGGTGTAAAAACAGAAAATCCTCTGACTTGCCCATCAACATGCTTTTTTCTCGTCTAGTTTATCTGCTGTTTGCACTTTTGTTCTGCTTTTTTTTTAATCACCTCTTCTTGTTCTTTTTTTTTCCCTGCTTCTCTAATATTAGCTGATTTTATCTCCAGCCCTAAATAATTTTACACAGTCAGTATATTCTCCTCTTCTTTTCATCAAGGACCCTCTGATTTTTTTACTGTTATTTTTTCTCAACTATTTTCACTTTGAATCCTCATACTATTTTGCATGGAATCCCATGGGATGGTCCAAAAACACCCATTAAAAAATCTGAGATTCTCTATTACATTCAGTGAGCCTCATTATTGTCAAGAAGCCTTTTCCTATCAAATGCTTTAAACTATTATTTCCTTCTTGATGTTTCCGTTTTGTTGTCTGAAGAAGTCATGGAATTGCTGTAGAAAAATTTTAATATCATTAAATAATATGATAATAATAAGATCGTTTGCCAAGAACCAGCAAGGTGTTAATTGTAATGGTACCACTTCAACAAAATAAGTCATCATGTACAAGCTGGGCTGTTTGTTAAGTGTTCTTCAAACTCCAAACTCTTCTTTTCTTCTTTAAAGGTGTGAAGAAGACATCAATGAGTGTGAGAGAGAAGAATGTGAAAATGGTGGCTCCTGTGTCAACATATTTGGTTCATTTCTGTGTAACTGCACCCCTGGCTATGTGGGGCAATACTGTGGTCTTCGCCCCGTGGTCGTTCCCAATATACAAGCTGGGCATTCCTATGTCGGCAAGGAGGAGCTGATAGGAATAGCTGTGGTCTTGTTTGTCATATTCATGTTGATCATCCTCTTCATCATCTTTCGTAAGAAAGTATTCAGGAAGAACTATTCCCGCAACAACATCACACTTGTACAGGATCCAGCTACTGCCGCCTTGCTCAACAAGAGTAACGGCATCCAGTTCAAGAACATGAGGAATAGTGGAGACAGCAGAAATATATACCAAGAGGTTGGGCCTCCACAGGTCCCGGTGAGGCCAATGGCCTACACCCCATGCTTCCAGAGCGACTCACGGAACAACTTGGACAAGATAGTAGATGGTCTTGGCGTGGAGCACCAGGAGATGACAACGTTTCATCCCGAGTCCCCTCGAATTCTGACGGCCAGGCGGGGGGTGGTGGTGTGCAGCGTAGCTCCAAACTTACCTGCTGTGTCTCCCTGTCGCTCTGACTGTGACTCCATCAGGAAGAGCACGTGGGATACTGGGACAGAAAGTAAGTGCCACTGCACACCAGTCTCACTCTTCTCTGCCATAAATAAGGGTTGCCTTCAGGGTGCAGCAGGTATTATGGAACAGGTGCTCTTAATGATCCAACGTCATACACTTGTCACATTGTCACATTTCTCCAAGAAGTGATTTGGTTTAATTATGAAAGGTTATAATTAAACCAGGCATACAAAACCTCTATTTCTATGCATTAAGTATGACTAAACGCATTTATTTCACTTGTTCAGAAAGCACATATGAGTAAGTGCTTTGAGCATTAGTTCTTCAAGTGATACAATGCAATCATCTTTCTATTGGAAAAAATAATTTGGGGCAGAATTCTCAAATATAAATTCTGCTTGGTTTGGGCAGTTTGTCTCCTGAGGGAGTTAAAAACATTTAAACCTTCTGCAAGAAGCAATCGTGTTTTGCAGCAAGGACTAATGAACTAATATTCTCTACTTCTAGTATCTATGAAATGAAGTGCAAAATCATGTGCTACTTAAAGGATCACCTGTTTCAGTCCATTGCATTCCTATCTGTACTCAGTAGCAGAGTGATCCCAAAATTTCTGATCCCCACACTTTCCTATTTGTGCTCCAATGGTTTGTCACCTCTTAACACACGGTGTCCCCTCCATTCCTGAACAAGTTGCTGGAGATGCAGCAGACTTGACATATTCTGTCATAGCAGGAAATACCAGTTTGCTGGGATAGAGTTATGGCCCTGTGTTGTCTATCCTTGCAAGTCAGAACATGACATATGGACTGGGAGATGTTTGCTTTAGCATATGGGGAGGAATTTTATGATTTTTCTCTTTTTAGTACTGTCGTGGTTTAGGCCCAGTGCATAACTGAACACCACAATGCCCAAAAAAAAGGGCTAGTCAAAATAAGGACTGGGAGCGCTTCTCACCACTTAAACAGGTCACAGACAAAAGACAGACTCATCATAAGGAATAAAAAAGAAAACAATTTTAATTTGTTACCAACATCAGAGTAGAACAATGGGAGATACAACCAGATCTTAAAAGTCAAAACACCTTCCCCTCACCCCTCCCTTCTTCCTGGGCTCAGCTTTTGTTCCCGGTTTCTTCACCTTCCCCCTCCCCCTTTGCCTTGAGGCACAGGGAGATGGGAGTGGGGAGTTGCATTCGCTCTTCCCGCCACACCACGTGCTTCTTAGGAGAAGGGGGGGAAAAAATCAACTCAGCCCAGTGTCTCTCTCTGCTTCTACGTGGCCCCCTTTCCATAGGGGAAAAAAAAGTCCTCAGAAGTCCAGTATGGGTCTGCCCACAGCTGCAGTTTCCCTCACACACAAAACTGCTTCAGC